CATACTTGTGTTAAAGAAACATATGCATAATTCCAAACAATCAACCACATATCATATAACAAATATAGGATAAATTATATGATATGATATTCCTGGAAAATGAGAACCCAGTCCAGGAGCCTCATTACAAGCAGAATTCTTTATTGAGATGTATTGGTTGTTCTGCAGTCAAACAGCATCTTTAAGAAGTTCACATGAGTCTGCAAGAGTCCATTCCAGTGACAAGTGTCTAACACGAGTCTAACACTAATTTGGACAGATTTGTCCTGTCTATTATATGGTTTTGTAGGGGCCAGAGCTTATAAGTGAAGAAAAAGAGCATGTACTGTACTTTAAATACGGTAGATAGGTTAAAGAAACTGCCCAGCCACTGACCAGACATGTTTCACTCGCCCTGAAGTCTTTGACGCCCTGCCCGTAGTCATGAAGTGCATAAAGACAATAGGTTAAATGTCAAACGTGGCCTGCTCTAGTTTTCTGAATGAAATTAGATCATTTTAAACCACCATACAACGTTACTCTTCAGTTAAATATATCACTGTTAATTTGGAATTTGATTTTATAAATGTATTTTTCAACAATATGAAATGACATTGAGATGTTCATATGCAGTGTGTTTGTGTTCAGAGCCCCACAGAGATGATGATGATGAAGAAGGAACACAAGGACGCAGAGCTGGATAAGAAGATTGAAGCCTTACGAAAGAAAAATGAAGCGCTTATGAAACGCTATCAGGTGAGAATGTGTACTGTGCCTTTAAAATGTGTCAGAAACAAACGTCAGATATTCAGATTTGATTTTAGCCTGCTTAAAAATATTTTACAAAGCATTTAAAGTCAATGTGAAACTTCAATAAGATAAGATTTTACTTGTAAATATGAACACTGTTAAAAACTGTTTGGCCTTAGTGTGGTTGTATTATTGATAGGGATGTAACAATATTGTAAATACCGTCATACCGCAATAGTAATTGTTTTCAATATTAGCGTAGGCGCATGACTCAATAAAACTATATTTCTGAGAAAAGTTTGCTCAGGCGAATGAAGCGGACGGGAGGTAGCGGGAACTACATTTCCCATCAGCCCAGGCGTGGCCATCATCCTTTGCGGTCTGTTGTCACTACAGATCCAGTAATGTGGAAATGGAGTGTGCTGCTAGTAGAGGGGAAGAAAAAGAGCTGGAAATGATCTAACCTAAAGCGGGTTTTAAATCAGATGTGTGGAAGCATTTCGGTTTCTTTCTAAAAAGATACGAGAAAGGAGAAAAGGTGACAGACAAAGACAAAAACAGCATGCAGGCACTGCCAGACTGTGGTGAAATATAAGTCGGGGAATACGACTAATAACAGTCATGGGGACTGCAGAACACAGCACACTTGTTAGATTGATGCAGACATTGACCTGTACCGCAAAGAGACCTCTATCTCACTCATGGCTTGTCCTCTCAAGTGGAGGAAAGACAATGCACAACGTTACCCACTGCTGTCAACCTTGGCTAAATCATATCTCTCTGTTCCAGAAACCTCAGTCTCAAATGAGAGGGGGGTTTTCTGTTGCAGGGGACATGCCCAGAGATCCCAGCTTTCACCAGATTATAGTTATATGATCATTTTCCTTAAAAAAACCCATCTCTATCTGAGTGAGTGAGTGATTAAATGTTGAATGTGAGGAGTTTTCAACAATACTAAATTGAAACTTTATTTTTTTATATGGTTTAATAGTTTTTTGTTATTAAAATTAAAAAATTTAAGTTCCTGTTTCGAAACTTACAGATAGGTGGCTAATTTGTATGTCATTGATATGTTCAGTGCTAAGGCAGGGCTCAACAATAAGGACTGCCCGGTGGCCCGTGGCCAGCGTGAAAGACGCTCGGGACAGTAGACAGGATTGTTACTGGCCCCTTTCGGCCAGTAACAGTGAGCATGCTATTTTTTTCATAACATGATAACAATAAGTACAGCGAAAGATGGCAACATCTAACTATGAGGCTAAAAGAAAACGTCAGTTTCTAAAGTCTTGGAAGCAGACAATTACATGGGTACAAAAATAAGAAACTGAAAAGAAAAAGAAAAAAAAAAGAGTTGTCGGTTTGGCAAGCCATTTTTATAAAAATTATTTAGAATTGCAATAAAATACCAGCACATTTTTCATACTGCTCTTTCGTTTGCATAAAATCAAACTAATTTTGCTCATCATACATTTATTAACATTTTTTAAATGTTTAAATTCTAGATATCATAGACATTCATAGACATTATTTTGCTACAATATTTAACATATGTGGCTAAGAAATAGCTATTAACCTTTTTTTTTTTTTGGTGGGGCCAGTGAAAATTTTGCCAGGGCAAGTAAAAACCTCAACTACTGGCCCAATCGGCCCAGTAGAAAAAATCCTTAGCGTTGAACCCTGTAAGGTAAATAAACACTTTTGGCACTTTTTTCGAGTCTTTTCATTAGTTTTGTTTTTCCTGTAAATTATTCAATAAATACCGTACCGTGCCATTCATACCGAGGTATTACCGTATTGTGAAATTTTGATACCGTTACATCCCTAGTCTATAGTTAATAATAGTTATTGATAGTTTTCTTTTTTCTGTATACTTTATTTTCTTGGTTTTAAAAAGAAACAGACCTATTTCTCTGGCAACAACCTGTGATGATGCATTTACATCAGAGGCGGATGAAGCATCTAGCGCGAGTGTTTTAAATGTTAAGTCAATGCAAAGATGCGAATAGATATCCTGCGGCGCGATTCGCACGAATGAAGCAGCCTAAATTGAGCATTTTGCGCATTTGACGATCAAATACTTCATAAATCAAATACTTCTTAAAAAATGTATGCATTGCGGTTTATTTCTTTTATTTCTGATAAGTTCATATTTCCTAATACAGAATTTATGCTGTTTTTCAGTTTTTATTGATGATCTATTGACTATATGATTATATATGCATGTATGTATATATAGATGAAGTCAGAATTATTAGTCCCCCTTTGAATTTCATTTCCTCTATTAAAATTTTCCCAAATGATGTTTAACAGAGCAAGGAAATTTTCACAGTATGTCTGATAATATTTTTTCTTCTGGAGAAAGTCTTACTTGTTTTGTTTCAGCTAGAATAAAAGCAGATTTTAATTTTTAAACAGCTTGTTAAGGACAAAATTATTACCCTCTTTTAGCAAATTTTTTTCCCGACTATCTACAGAACAAACCATTGTTATACAATAACTTGCCTAATTACCCTAACCTTCCTCTCTCTCTCTCTCTCTCTCTCTCTCTCTCTCTCTCTCTCTCTCTCTCTCTCTCTCTCTCTCTCTCTCTCTCTCTCTCTCTCTCTCTCTCTCTCTCTCTCTCTCTCTCTCTCTCTCTCTCTCTATATATATATATATATATATATATAGGACAGAATTCAATGTTTATTTATAAAGATAGACAGGCCTACAGAATTATTTTCATCTATCAACATGAATGGCAGCTGTTGTGTTTGATCTAACTGCCCCAAAACTACATGCTGAACGCTGTGAGTTTGCGTCAGGATGATGATACATGGGCTGAATTTTTGAGCAATGCCTATATTACAGGGGGTGATGCTGCCTGGCTACTTTCATAAAATTGCCAACAAACATTTTACATGAAAATTGGAAATGTAAATTAGTTTCTATTATTGTATCAATAGGATGTGAGGTCTAGTTATCTACCTATCTCACTCACTATCCTTAAACTTAGTTCCTGATTTATTAGGGGTCGTCACAGCAGAATGAACCACCAATTATTCCAGCATATGTTTTACACACTGGATACCATTCCAGATGCAACCCAGTACAAGTATACACCCATACACACTCACATTTACACACACACACACACACTTATACACTACTGCCCATTTATTTACCTATTATTCACCTGTACGTTTTACTGTTGTACATTTCTGAGGCGGTACTTCTTTACTTTTACTCAAGTACAAAAGTGTAGTTAGTACTCCAGCTTTTACCAGAGTCATTTTAAATATGAGTATCTGTACTTCTACTTTAGTAAAGGATGTGTGTACTTTTGCTGTGTCTGATTTTAATATTATAATATTTCCTTGGCAACAAACTGTAGTATTAAAAAATATTTAAATAAAAAATGTATTTTTCGATGTGGTTTTTAATTTATTGTATGTCTGTATGCTTTTTATTATGTTGTATTTTAGTTATAAAAATAAATGTTATTATTTTACTGAAATTTTTTAATTATTATTTCAAATAGCTCTAGTTCTATGGTTGCATTAAATGAGTTGCATGTCTGAAACTGTTGTATTTAAATAAAACTTGCAACTTGGGTCAATTTGTCTTATATTTGCTTTCTTTTTGTTCCTACTCTTAGTATGTTTTTTTTTTTTTTTTGCACGATAGTATGTTATTACAAAAATGTAAACAGATAAGCAGAATACAGTCCTTTATAGAAAGCATAAGACTTGAGTCTTAACCTATTTTTTAGGAAGTGGAGGAGGATAAAAAGCGGGCGGAGCAGGAAGAGATGTCATTCCACAGTAGGAAGGGAAAACCTGATGATCTGACCATCACCATCAACAAATCCCTCTGCGTGAGCTGCTTTATTAATCATAGCGATGCACAAACACCACACACTCTCACTCACAAATAAAAGGTTTGCTCACACTCTGTAAAAAGTGATTAGCTACTTTACTTTAAAGGTGCAGTATGTAAGTTTGACACCCAGTGCAGGGCTCGAAATTAACCTTTTTGTTTGTGAGCACCGGTGCTCCTAACTTAAAAAATTTAGGCGAATCAGCCAAAATTTAGTCGCACCCACCAATTATAAGCACCGTTACAAGTTTTATACAAACATATTTATTGCATTTAAAATCAACACTAATCAAACTAACTAGCAAAAAAAAATAACACATTTATTAATACATATATGCAAGCGTGAGGAAAATATGTCTTAACGAAATCCCGTTATCACGAGAAAATACATTTTTATAACAGAAACGAGTGACCAAAGCATACACGGAGCGCTCACCGGCCCTGCACACACTGCTTGACATGAATGAATCTGTTAACGGTATAACTGTGCTGTTCTCACGGGTGCTGTCTGATATTGCACTGATGCTTTTGACACATACTCTACCCTATTATATGCATGCGTCATGTTAATAGCAATACCGTTTTTTTTTTATGAGTAGCGTTAGTTTACTCAGTGCGATGGTGTACGTGGTGTTAAATTGGACATATTTGCACGGCGGACAGCATCTGCCGATTATATGAAGGATTAAACAGAAGCTCTCGTGCTAGATGTGTCAAACAGTTACCTGAAAACTCCATCCCACAGACTTTTCATAGCGGACTTGAAGTCAATGGAAGTCTTCTACTCTTGGAAAAGTGTAGATGGTGGATTAACATTCAGCACATGATCACTTGTAAGATGTGTCATTATTTGTAGCTAGATGTTTTCTAAAACTAAATCTGTCAGTGTTATCTTCATTCTCATCTTCAGCGCTTTACAGTTTTTCGCGGTAGTAGCTCTCTCTGTCATCCAAAGCCAGAAGGCGCTGAGTGATTGACAGCTGATATTAACCAATCATTCACGTTCAGTGCTAGAGCAGTGGAGGGCCAATATGAAGAGCGCGAAGGCGGGGCAAGCATTACGGACTTGGCTTTGTTTACTGCAGCAAGTTGACATGACAACTGTTTTAAACCATTCCTGAGCGCTGCGTTTCGCATTTCAAGTGCAGACAAAGAGCTTAGAGATGCATTCTGCGTGAATGTCTCCCGAATTCGCGCATTTGGTGAACATTTTACAGTAAAAACTGGTCGCACACAACAACTTTAAGCACTCGCAGAAATGCTCCCTAATATATTTTAAGGTCACATAGATAAAATTTCGGGCGCATATGCGGCCAAAATGGTCGCAATTTCGAGCCCTGCAGTGGTTGAACTAGGTATTGCAATCCTGGATCAAAACAAACGCAAGCGCAGGTTGTCAGATTGAGGACCAACAGGAGTGAGCTTGATTTAAGTCGTGTTCTAAATAAAAGCAGCGGCACGGGATAGAAGGAATATTTTCCGTATTAAGAGGAGCTTTTGTCCTGACCAACTTCAAATTGATATATTAGAACCAGCTTCTATTTCTCACCGCTGAACAACAGAAAACAGAAAACAGTACACCTCATGTGCTTTATTCAGTGTTGAATGCTAATAATGTGAATTTGAATGTTGTTTTACATGACATTTATTGTCATACTACTGAAAGCAGCAGCAGATAAATCAGCTCAGATCTGGAAATTAAAATAAACTGTTTGAAATTGAACTTTAGAACTGAGACTTAAGGCTGATTTATACTTCTGCATCAAACACCGGCGTATGCTACGGCGCTGACGCATAGCCCTTCGCCGTCGCTGACGTGCACCTCTCAAAAAATGTAACTACACGTCGCAACAACGCGTAGCGTAAGCTCTGTGATTGGTCGGCTTGGTAGCGCTGACGAGTCGGGGCGGGACCGAGAGCCGTGCGAATGGCGCGAGCCCGATGTAGCGATTGTTTACAAGTGTGGAGTCCCGTGAAGGAGCTCCGGATGGAAAGTTTTGTTTTGTGTTTACCTCATAGTTAAAGTTGTTGCACGTCCGCCGGTTCCTGCCTCATAATGAGCGAGTTTGAGTCACTTGTACATCCAGGAAGTGTTCAGGAAACGCAAAACAGAAGCAAAGAAACTCGACACAGAGGAACATTTACACATCACTGCCAACTAGCGTTTCGGAAGTGTTAATGCAGACCAACAGAGACAGCGCGCAGAAGTATAAATGCACAGCTGCGCACGTTGCCTGCGCCGTGAGTTACGCCGGTCACTTGACGCAGAAGTATAAACCAGGCTTCAGTGTAAACCAACACATATCAGTGATTCAGCATCTACATTTATTAATGTTAAAGAGTTTTAATAGGTACTCAATAGATTATTTTGCACTATTTAGTGCTTCTGAATGGCTGTATTTACATTTCTGTCGTGTTTCGTCTAGTGCAAACTGCCAAACAGCGTGTTGTTAGGACATGGGGTTACAATGTCACCTGCTCACCTAATGTTTACGCTCATAATATTTATATTATTTGCTAATTAATAACCTCATGTGGAACTCTGAATCTGCTTCTCCTTTCGGAGTCTGCTACTGTTTACTGAAGGTCGCATTACGGTCATGGAGATGGAAATATGCTGTTTTCCACCAAAACAACCCGGGGTGCTGAACAGGCAATGGTAGGGTTAAAAGAACCAAAACAAAGACAGACTTTCTGGCACATAACGCACATATTCAAAGCAGAATATCTGACTTCCGCATTGTTTTTCAGAGAATGACAAGAATGTTCATGTAGCATGTTTCTGAAATATCTGCAAACACATTATGGCACTTAAGAAGGGCCAAAAACTTACATACAGCACCTCTTAAAAAAGGTCAGTAAACCAGTTGACTTAAATTTAATAATTATGCAATGAGGCAATGAGTTTACTCTCTATTTTTACAATTAAACAATGCATTATTAAAATCCAATCATGCTTGTTAACATTAGTTAATGCACCTTAAGTTAACATAAACTAACAATGAACAACTTTGCCACTATTTATTAACATTAACAACAATGAATAAATACTGTAATAAATGTATTCTCCATCATTTTTTTAATGTTAGTAAATGCATAAACTAACAATAACTAATAAAACTTTATTGTAAAGTGTTACTTGTGTTTCTAAGACTGTTAGAAATCCTCAGTTATTGACTACTATAGTGGGAAAAAAAATACTATGGAAGTCAATGGCTGTTATTGTTAAGTGTGACCGATACAACATCATCTTTGGTGTTCAGCAGAAGAAATAAGATAAGCATGGTTGAAACTACTTGAAGATGAGAGATTGTTTCATAATTTTATTCAAACTATCATTAATTTTCCTTCAGCTTAGTCTTATTTATCAGAGGTCGCCACAACGAAATGAACCGCCAACTATTCCAACACATGTTTTATGCTGTGAATTCCCTTCCATCCACAACCCAGTGCTGGGAAGCACCCATACACACTCATACACTACGGCCAATTTAGTTCATCAATTCCCCTATAGCGCATGTGTTTGGACTGTGGGGGAAACCGGAGCACCTGGAAGAAACCCACACCAATATGGAGAGAACATGCAAACTCCATACAGAAATGCCAACTGGCCTAGCTGGGACTTTCTTGCTGTGAGGCCTAACCATTGAACCACTGTGTCGCCAGTCGAACTATCAATTTACACCAAATGTGAAGAAATGGCAATGTTAGATTTATAAATGTAAATAAAAGTGCTAATGCCGGTGTGTGTGTGTTCAGGATGAGCGTGTGGTGACCCAGAAAGTTGGAGGACTGAGAGATGGAGGTCAGGAGAAGGACTGTGATCCCGGATCCAGTGTATTCAGCATCGGCAGAGGAAAGAGGCGGCAGCTGCTCATCTCTACACCAGGAAACATCAAGGTGAGACTTCTTTAAAGATTGAACACACTACATGCATAAAGAGTACTATAGCCACCTTATGCCGAGTTCAGACTGCATGATTTTCAAAGTAGTCGTGTCACAGATGTTTTCACACTGCTTGACTATCTGGGCTAGCGTTTCGTCGCTGCTTTGTTTACACTGCAACATTCACATTGCATGACTTTACTATAGGAAGAATCGCCGACAACTTCGTCCAAACTACGTCTCACAGCCAAAAACACGTCGTATATCTTTTGTTATTAACTACATAACGAGAAAGAAGCCTTTAATGAGGTAGTAAATGTACATGTTTACTCACCTGGGTTTAAAGGGAATTAGCCATTTCTCCTCAACATTGATAATAAACTAATTTCTTTCTGTATGAAACGTCAAACAGACACGGTTGCTCCTGAGTCCTGTCAAACCTCCACTAGTTTTTCCTCCATTTCGTGGGTCCAAATAAACCGAAAAAGAGCGCTTTTAACTTCTCCCCCAGCCTCCCGCTGGCCTGCAGCAGGTATACACACACACACACAAGTGAAAGCTGCTCTCTCATTGGCTGTAGGCGATCGCTGATGTTATTTTCAGTCAAAACTCAATTCACACGGCATGATTTGAATCGCAGACAGCTCCAGATATTCAGCACGCCAAATATCTCGCAGGCATCGGCGACTCATCTGCGATTCTCTCAGATCGCGTCTTTGATAGTTCATACTGTGTGACTGTCACTCACGTGCACGAGCACCGATTTGCCTGTGATTTCAGGCATTTGTCTGCGATTTCTCAAAACCTGTCGGCGAGCCAAAATCGGGGCTAAAATCACGCAGTCTGAACACGGCATTAGAGAGGTGTGTTCAAAGTTCAATTCAATGCATCTTTATTTCTCTAACACTTTTACAATGTAGATTGTGTCAAAGCAGCTTAATAGAAGTTGTAGTAAACTGAAACAGTGTCAGTCCAGTTTTCAGAGTTGAGGTTCAGTTCAGTGTGATTTAATTTTCACTGCTAAGAGTCCAAACACTGAAGAGCAAATCCATCGATATGCAGCTCTACAAGTCCTAAACTAAGCAAGCCAGTGGCGACAGTGGAGCAACAAACTTTACCAATAGACCAAAGTGAAGGAAAAAACATCTTGAGAGAAACCAGGCTCAGTTGGGCACGTCCATTTCTCCTCTGGCTGAACTTCTTGTGCAGAGCTGCAGTCTAGGCGCCGGAGGCCGTAGAAGCTATTGACCAGTGGTTTTACAAACTATTTTCACCAAGTACCACCTCAGAAAAAAATTGTCTCAAGTCCCTCCATAATCACCAGTATTGAAATAAAGCAGCATAGTTGGCCAAATTAAGCAGCTACAGCACTGCACAGTTCGAGTCATATTCATTTAACCAAATTGTTTTCCAAACAAAATATGAAGCCGATCAGTGGGTTTTTGTCATGTGACTTGCAGTGCGGCATTCTGAACAGTTAAGATGTTTTCAACTCAATATGCCTGTAGTACACAAGCGCATTGTGCTGCAGTACTTATTTTGCTAGCCTGTGGGTTAAATTTTGGCACTCAAGTGACCGAGATGTAACTAGTGAATTCTGTCATTTTTCAAAATAAATGGTTAAATCGTTCAGATTAAAAATAAAATGGAATTATGATTTTTGTTTTATTAGATTTTTTTTTGCAGCTCGGTACCAATTGATCTATAGACTTTAGCCGGTCTATTCACCTTATTCTCCGCCGACGAGCGGGCGCTGCCATTTGAATCTTTTTGGCTTGAGACTTCCGGTCTCATTCACTTCCATAAATTTTTTGACGTTAAAAACGGCTCGTTACGCTGCTTGATGTTGCAATTTGATATTTTCTTGTTATATTATTCTACTTGGTCTGTATAGTCATGCAAACATTTGTTTGTAGAGCAAGTAGTTTGACCGTTTTCTGCCGTTTATTATTCCTAGTCATTTCTCCCATAGGCGACTGAATCGGAAGTTCTAAGACAATCGCGAAAACAGCCGCACTTCCACATTTTAAAATAAGGTCAATAGTCCGAGGGTTGTGGACCCACTACTATCTCCTCTGCAAGCACTCTTTTACTGGTTCTGCGCTGATTTAATAGATTTTTAGCAGCTGATGACGCGATGCATTAAAGTAATCATTCTAAGCACAGCGCTTTGATTGTAGGCTTTAGAGAACAGCCGATGCTTATCACATTGGTGTTATCTTACACATCAACTGATTAAAATTGTATTCATTTTTTCTGTCATTACTCAGTGATTCCTCCAAGTGCCACTAGAAGTAAGCCCGCGCACCACTAGTGGTACACGTACCACAGTTTGAGAACCACTGCTATAGATCTTTTTCATGGCTGCTGCATGGAGGGCGCCATAGCGACCAGCGTCTTCCGGTAGAATGCTAAAAACTTCAGTTTACAGCGTGTTCAACTGGTAATTTGCGCTCCGAAAATGGGTTTCAATAACGTTTTTAATGGATAACAGAGTGTTTTTGCGACACACAACTTAGAAATGTGTCTGTTAAAGCCGTTATAATCTGTCACATGTGGTTCAAGCACCTCAGAAATACGAGAAAAGCGTTCTCCTAGTTCATGTGTCTGCCGTCAGAAATGTGTGTGCGTTCCCGAGAGAGAGAGAGAGAGAGAGAGGGAGAGAAGGGAGAGAGCAAACCAGAGTACTGGCATGAAACTTCACAGGTATGAAAGTCGTGCAATTTACAAAAATGAGCAATAAAAGTCTGTTATTGATCCTCTGCTGGCTGATTTGCTGTTCATTCTAATCGCAAGCCGTTTGTGTTTTATTTCGTGTGTTGTTTTTACCACGGTTTGTGTTTTTCTGTCATTTCGAAATGACACTAGCCTATATTTTCACTTTGTCACAGTTATTAAATCAGTGTGTCAGTGGCACAGTACAGGCTACGTGTGTGTGTCAAACATTTTGGTGAACTACATTTGTTTGGGCTGGTTATATATTTGAAATAAAGAGAAAATGTTGACTTTAGCGATGACGAGGCTTCATTTAAACTGCAGAAGATGCCGTCTGACAACGAGGGGAAAACGCCTCACAGCAGCTGTTTTCCATCCTATTAGATGGCATTTCTTTAAATGATCAGTCCAGGAGATGGTGCTGATGGACAACAGTGTTAGTTCAAAGAGGATAAAAGCAGGTAAAATAGATCAAAACTATCGTTTCAAAGCTGTCCAAATGTGACTGTTTACACGCATCAGCTGCCGACCGGAAGTTCTTCGCATTCTCCTTGCTCATACACGCAAAGCATCATGGGTAATTTTGCGGTCCAAGAAAAAGGTCTAGAGACCATTTTGAGGGATGTAAACAATAGCAATGGTCCTAACGTATTTATTTTAGTTATATATTTTTTATTTTAGAGAATCCAAAAAAGTCCAAACATTTACAATAATCCTACGACAGGTCTTTTAACGTAAATTTATCATTAAATTGCCTCTTGTTACAGTTATGAAATAGTATGATATCAAGCAGGACATTTTCATTGGCCAATGACATGACCACATTGAAATGGTCTATAAACGTATTCTACTGGCGACATCTTATTTGCTCCCACGTTTTTGGTTTTGATGATATGTTGACAAGCAAGCTTTTCATAGAGCAAGCTTTGGCTAATTCCAATTGGCTTTATTTGTAACATATACACAGAGCAATTTAGCCAAAATTAAAGCCTGATTTAATTTTAAAAACACCGATTATTCAGTTTGATTTGTTAACCAATGGAAAATACTCAAATCCATTAAATCCCATATAAGAAATATTCATTCATTCTTTCATTTTTCTTCGGCTTAGTGCCTTAATCAGAGAACGCCAAAGCAGAATAAACCTCCAACTATTCCTGCATATATTTACGCAGATGATGCCCTTTCAGCCACAACCCAAAACAGGGAAACACCCATACACTCTCACATTCACACACTCATACATTATGGCCAATTTTAGTTCATCAATTCCCCTATCGCGCATGTGTTTGGACTGTGGGGGAAACTGAAGCACGCGGAGTAAACCCACGGCAATACGGGGAGAGCATGCAAACTCCTCATAAAAATGCCAACTGGTCTAGCTGGGACTCGAACCAGCAACCTTCTTGCTGTGAGGCGATAGTGCTGACCACTGAGCCACCTCTTTATTACACAATTCATTAATACATTATTCATTCATTTCAGGTTAGTCACTGTATTAATCTGGGGTCGCCACAGCGTAATGAACCACCAACTTATCCAGCATATATTTTACACAGCCCTTTCAGCTGCAACTCATCACTTGGAAAATTCATACATTAATAAAAACCAAATCAAGAATAAAATCAGCGTGACAGACTGCATATATCACATCGTATTTGCTCCCGTTGTTTGTGACAGATTGGCTTTTCAGACATTGTGAACTTGAAGAAAACGAAGAAATGCTTGAAGAAAGACACCTTAACAGTCGATCACCAAGCAATACATGAAGTGTCTCACGCACTTTCATTCCGTCAGCATATTGATGTTCAAGTTCAAATTGAAGAACAAAATAAAAGCATAACAAAACACCAACAACTGCAGTTTAAACGTTAAATGAAGACAAAATTATTCGCCCTTCTGTGCATTTTATTTCCTTTGTCAAATATTTCCCAAATGGTGTTAAACAGATTTAGGGTTTTTTCACAGTAATTCCTATAATATTTTTTCTTATTCAAAAAGTCTTATTTGTTTTGTTTCGGCTAGAATAAAAACAGTTTTTAAATTTTTTTAAAACTATTTTAAGGTCAATATTATTAGCTTCTTTAAGCAATATTTGTTTTGCAATGTCTACAGTACAAACTTAATAAAGTTATACAATGACTTGCCGAACTACCCTAATTTGAACCTAATTAACTAGAGGTGTGAACCTTTACTGGTTACACGGTTCTGTTCGGTTACGATTATCATGCCATCGACTCGGTTCAATTCGATGTCTCGGTGCATCACGGTGCATTGACGATGCTTTCCATACACAGTGTTATATTTTGGGAGGAGGCTATAACAAGCTGTCTGTATAAACACACAGACACACAGCACCACACTGTCTCTCATTCACACACATACAATAACATAGACAGCAAAAAACAAAGAGGAGTGCAACAAAATAAAAAAAAAACGACAAAAACGGAAAAAGAAGCACTTTTCCGATGGTCCCTTACTGAGAGCTCCGCTCCCAGCGAGCTCTCCCGGCTGAACGCATATTGCGAGGGCTTGCGAGGAGCAGTGGTTGTAATGTCGAGCGAAAAAAAGAAAAAGACAGCTGTGAAACATAACCAGCTTTGTCTTTTTGTTGGAAACACACTTTAGATCTTTTTAGGGTAAGAGGTTTTTGAGTTATTGCCGTCTATAACTGAAAGTGTGTCAGGAATATCGAAAACAAAACCAACTGAACCGCGCTCATTTCTGGCGCCCCCTGGATGTACAGCGCCCTTAGCATTTGCCTAAACTGCCTATGCCATGGGCCGGCCCTGAGTTGGCTTCTGAGTGTTGTAAACACCAGCGTTCACCTCCCTCGCGACAGAGCGCATAGGAGATAAATGACGTCAGTACATAATAACCGGTTATGATTATTACTGAAACGATACCGAATTTTCCGTGTTTGCAACGCGGCGCACCGAAAAAACAATTAATTTTGACACTCCTATAATTAAGCCTTTAAATGTCATTTTAAGCTGAATACTAGTGTCTTGAAGAATATCTAGTCAAATATTACGTGCTGTCATCATGGCAAAGAGAAAAGAAATCAGTTATTAGTAGGCCCACATGGAATCTGCACATGCAGAATTCCGCAGATTTTCCGCAGAATTCCGCAGAATTCCGCAAATTTCTGTAGTTTTTTAGCCCATTTTAAATTCTGTTTATTTACTTGAGTAAATGTGTAAATCTGAATTTATTCAGTTTTTATTCAGTAATTTATTACTTTTTATTTAATATATTAAAGTGTAAGTTATGATACTCCGCTGGATACTCCCAAAATAATTCCGCAGAAATCCGCAGATTTTTACCAAAATTCTTCGCAGAAATAGCAAAAAACGTCCGCAGATTCCGTCTGGCCCTGGTTATTAGAAATGAGAAACTATTATGTTTAGAAATGTGTTGAAGTAAGTTTCTCCCCATTAAACAGAAATTGGGAATGAATATGTAATTGTGCTAATAATTCTGACTTGAATGGCTACAACACTGTTTCAGGGTAAGAAGGTTTTCGGCGAGAGGAAGGACAGAAACCGTCCTGTGAGTCCAGCTAGACTTAAATCCTGTGTTGAAGAAGATCTGGAGTCGAACACACGAGGAAAACAACCTGCCGCTGTAAAGAGACTCACAGAGGTGAGCAGATCTTCTCGTTTGTGTTTGGGACGCCTTTCATTTTGTTTTCAAGCTGTGATGCTGTAAACATATTCACACCAGATGAGTCTGATCATAAGAGATGAGAGTTTGAATATTCATCAGGCTTTTGGCAGGATTTTGTGGGTCTGTTCAACTGTTCTGTTTAATGGCAAAAGTAACATTTACTTTACGGTTTCACCGTTTACAGCTGTATAGTACAGGGTTCACACAAGGTGCCTAAAGTGCTTGAATTTGGCTTAAAAGGGCACCTATGGTGAAAAATCTACTTTTCAAGCTGTTTGGAAAGACATGTGTGTAATTATAGTGTATAGATTGTCATATTGGGGTGATATAAACACACACAGTTTTTTTTCAATTTAACAATATAATAACGGTCGACCAATTAGATCGGTTTTTAGATCGACCGCAACTTGACGTAGGAGTGCGGTCCTCCCGCCCACCAGTATTGATTGACAGGTGCGTCGTCATATCCTCAGTTTGTCGTTTCACGTCCGCCATTTTCAACGTTAGAGTCAAAGCGATGTCACTAGAGGAATACCCTTGCTCTATGTTTAGATGTAAGGCTCATTGGGCTCAACACAAGATCACACTACATGATCGCTCTCTTCGGAATTATTGTTTGTAACTTAGTTTGTTTGTAGGTAATAATAATAATAACACATTTTATTTAAAGGCGCCTTTCTAGCAACTCAAGGACACCGTACAATCAACAAATGCAATAAAAGTACAAGAGAAATAATAAAATATACACAGCAATAGTGCAAATAAAATTAAGTGTTAAAAGTCATCTTGAATAAGTGGGTTTTGAGTCTTGATTTGAATAGTGTGAGGGAGTCAATGTTTCTGATGGCAGGTGGTAATGAGTTTTCAAAACCGCGGAGCAGAGCGGCTGAATGCTCTGTTGCCCATAGTTGAAAGGCGAGAAGAGGGAACAGACAAGTGGAGGGAGGAAGAAGATTGCAGGGTGCGAGAAGGAACAGAAATGTGGATGAGGGCAGACAAATATGGAGGGGCGAGATTTTGGAGAGAACTTACCATGACCACGAAGATCCGCCTGTTTAACTCTAATGTGAAATCAGTATTGTTGTACGGGGTAGAGACCTGGAGGATAACCAAAGCTTCCACCCGAAAAATCCAAACATTCATCAACACCTGTCTCAGAACAGGTAACCAATGAAGCTGCTGCAGGACAGGGGTGATGTGATGAGAAGAAGGGGTTCTGGTGATGATACGAGCAGCTGAGTTCTGGACCAACTGAAGCTTACACAGAGATTTATGAGTGAGACCAAAGAGAAGAGAGTTGCAGTAATCTAAACGAGATGTGACAAGGCTATGAACGAGAACAGCAGTGGCATGAGGTGTAAGAGAAGGGCGGAGACGGTTAATGTTGCGTAGGTGGAAGTAAGCAGACCATGTGATGTTATTGATGTGAGAATCAAAAGATAGGGTGACTCTTCCAGACTCTTAACCTGTTTAGAGGGATAGAGGGAACAGTCGTCAATTTAAGAGAGAAAAGCTGGAGAATGTTGATTTATGTAGGCTTGCAAACTATTGCGTCTACCTTAAACTTTAGCCGTTTGCATTTCTCGAGGTCACAGAAGCTCCCTGTGAGTGTGATCTTAACTAGGTGCAGCTGAAAGTGTGAGCGCCCTTTGCCTCATGTGAGTGTCACTCAATTGGAAATAAAATAACAAACTTGCCTGCAGGTGGCACACCAGAAGTGCCGCTCGGAGACGCGCAGCGCCATGCATTTTAGAAATTTAAACATTGGTTTCTATCAGGATACACACAGTGGCGCTTCAAGTTGCGGCTGTCTGTGGCGCCCAGCCAGGATTCGGGACACTTCATATTTCTGCCGCGCCACAGAGTGTCATCTAAATTGTTTCATTTTAAATAATATGTCTTCAGTCCACCACGGTGACTGAAGCTCTGCACAAGACTTTTTGCCAGCGGAGAAATTAAAATGGTCGTGCCCAACTGAGTCTGGTTCTCTCAAGGTTTTTTTTCTTCACTCCCATCAGGTGAAGTTTTTTTCCCTCTCCGCTGTCGCCACTGCCTCGCATGGTACAGGATTGGTAGAGCTACGCATCGATGAATTTGCTCTTCAGTGTTTGAACTCTCAGTAATGATTTTAAACCACACTGAACTGAGCTAAACTGAACTGAACTTAAACAGTAAAACCTGAACCACACTCTTCCAGTTACTATGACCATTTATGTGAAGCTGCTTTGACACAATCTACATTGTAAAAGCGCTATACAAATAAAGCTGAATTGAATTGAATTGAATAATATGCAAATGTGCGTGCCTGTCGTGCCGTGTCACGGCTCTAAGCAGGTCATCTATGTGCCTCAGTCAAAGTTACTTCAGTGTGGTGGTTCTTAGTCTTGGTGTACAAGCTCGGATTTTTAAACTAGCACACAGTTGGCTGTAAAACTATACAAAGACACAAATGATTGTGTAATCTCTGCTTTGTCTGTGTCCGAGTCATACATGTACGGCTGAATGCTGGTCCTCTCACTCATGTTGCTTCTCTCTGTCTGCCTGTCTGTTGCCAAACACAGAGCGGAGGAGCTCTTAGCTCCGCCCCCTTGTTACATTAGGCGGAAATTTGAAACTAATTATCATGTAAAGCAACACGCCCCTAAAACAGCGAGCTGTGTACACGCCCACAACATGACTCTTTAACACATTGTAATAAAAAAAAAATCTGAACTGTGTTTTGAACTGAACCTACACTGGCACACTCAGAACAACCATAATATTAATATTAAATCATAAAAAAGGGAGAAAACTATGTGCACTTTAAGAAATTTAAGACCTGGAAAATTGGCTTGTTTTTTTGAAAAGTGCTTTAAATTAACAAGGAGAATTTGTATGCATTTTTCACGCTGGAAAAATACAAATGTGTGTGAACTTTTGTGACAATTTAATGCAATAATACCCACACATACTACCGTGATTCCGAAGGGGTGATTTGACTGATATGTAAGGCCACATTGCTAACCATTGAGCCATCGTGCTGCCTTAAAGCATGTATTTAATTGTAAAGAAGCTGTCCTCCGGGCTCCAGTCTTTTACACTTGAGTTGTAGTATTGGATGAGTGTGTTTTGTGTGCTGTTTTTCAGTGCATGTGAATGTGTGCCTGTGTCTGTGTGTGCGTTTGTCTGTGTGTGTGGGTTATACGTATGTGAGTGAGGACAGATGTGTTTTCTCCACCGTCGGGGCTGAACTGTCTCGACAGCAGCTGCTTCTGTCCGCTGAAGTCTGAAAGGCTCTCTATAATGCAGTCTATTGTGAAAGACTCTTTATCATCAGAGCTTTTGTCTGATCGAGTCTCACACACTCTCTCACACGAACTGAATGTGAATGTAGATCCTGAGCCTCCACGCTGTCTGAAAATAAATGGCTTGCTTAGTGTCTTTGTAGATGTTGGAGAGAATTTAGCTAGTATTATTTATATACTGGTGCAGTGTTTATTAACATTTTTAAAGCTTTTAGCATATTTTGAATGCAATATAACTGTAGTACTTTTGACTTTTTATTGTTTTTTGTTTTAGTTTTCTTGTAATTATTTATATAGACAGTGCTCAGAATGAGTTCACTGGCTATAAAACACTTATTGCTTAGTATTTCATTAAATTATTTAGATTAAATACTTGAATGTAAGTTATTTCAGTTAGCTGTTAGTCTATACTTCTAATTTTTATTTAGGTTTGTAATCCAGTTTTTATATATATATATTTTATAGCAGCTTTATTTTAATCACCTCTTTATTTTACAGTTTCAGTGATTTTAGTATTTATTTACAAATCTTTTTTTTTTTTTTTTTTTTGGCTTCACATCTAAAACATTTAACCACTTAAACTCTGCGGACGCAGTGCCGGGTCCGTGACGTCATCGACTTTCGCTTTAAGATTTAAAGGGCTAGCATTGCACCAGACCCCCATAAATGGTTTCGCTTGAAATCGTAGAATCTATATTTTATGCACATATGCATCACTTTGGTTTTTATTCTACTGTACAAAAGTTATTTACACTTAAATACACAGTATTTTGGACACCTGAGCTGGGTATTGAACATTGGTTCATTTTAATATTTTTCATATGACACATGTACAAGCTATAGCTCAAATAAAAGCTCTTGCCGGTGCTCATACGGTTCTAGCATTCTTTTTACTGAATTATATTCACACATCAAACAGTTGCTGAATGAATCGCGGTGTTTTCATGGCGCAGAAGTGAAAACAATACATTTATGATCAATAAGCAGCCCCAGATAGCACAGACAGCTGTCATCTCTCACCTTATGCTGTGCGCTTCAGGGCCATTCTCCTCTGTTTTTGAGGTGATGTGCATAAGTAATCCTTTTATATGTCTGACGTGGTCCAAACACAGTGAATTATGTTTGATCAAACAAAAGAATAGTGAAATATGAAAACAATGATCGCTCCCTGTGGCTTGTACAGCACCTCTCATCAGTTGGAATACAATAACTTCTGCATAGATTATGGTGGAGACATTTTTCCTTTTTTTGTCTATGATTACAGACATGTGCAGGAACCACCAACATTAATTACAGCACGCTAGACCACACACAACCTAAAAGAGACACTTTCAAATTTGAGTTTATAAAAAAATACAAAAAGCACCTTTTTTTTTAGGTGTTTATTATAGCAAAGACAACATATACAGATATTTCAAACACTTTCAATAGTGTTTTATAAAAATTTAAAGGGTTTTCTTTAAAATGATACCAAATTTTTGCATTTACACCTCAGCATGTGGATTTGGGAAGCTTTTAAATTTGGGTAGGCGAAATCCAGGCGGAAATCCCAAAATAGCAGCAGAGTTTAACTGGTTAAAATAACTTAAAATAGTTATAATTATACAAATACTGACTATAGCACTGTATCGCATTGGGGTTGTTTGCTACTTTAAAACCAATTTAAATATTATTTTAAACAAACGTCTTTAAGCAATATATTTAATAAAACAAAACAATAAATGCATTGAATGGGGCTTGATTTAATTTGATCTGCTTAGTCGATGGAAAATGTCTGAATATTTACACTTACCGGCCACTTTATTAGGTATATCTTTTTAACTGCTCGATAACACTGATTTCTGATCAGCCAATCACATGGCAGCAGCTCAATGCATTTAGGCATGTAGACATAGTCAAGCTGATCTGCTGCATTTCAAAGTGAGCATCAGAATGGGGAGGAAAGGGGATTTAAGTGACTTTGAACGTGACATGGTTGTTGGTGCCAGACGGGCTGCTCTGAGTATTTCAGAAACTGCTGATCTACTGGGATTTTCACGCACAACCATCTCTAGGGTTTACAGAGAATGGTCTGACAAAGAGGAAATATCCAGTCAGCAGCAGTTCTGTGGGCGCAAATGCCTTGTTGATGCCAGAGGTCAGAGGAGAATGGCCAGTCTGGTTCCAGCTGGTAAAAAGGCAACAGTAACTCAAATAATCACTTGTTACAACTGAGGTCTGCAGAAGAGCATCTCTGAACACACAACACGTCCAACCTTGAGGCTATGCATGGGATGATAACCATTTTCAAGGTATACAGTGGTTTGGAAAAGTCAAACCACTAACATTTTCTGCAATATCGTTCCTAAGGTTTGTGTAGGATTTTTTTTTTCATTTCCGTTTTTTTAATTATTATTATTCTTGTTATTATTAATTTGGACAACAGTATCTCCTGCAGAAAGATATCCAAAGATACCATTTTAAATTGTAAAGAAGTCTCTGTTTTTGACACAAATGAAGACAGCAGAAGTCAATGATTCATTTGAAGTATTTAGCCTGACATGTTTACTGCTTGAAAATATTTAAATGTTTCTCAAAATAAAATTAATTATGTTTACAGGGGAATATTTTATTTATTTTTTTAACCCAGACCTTAAATATATATATATATATATATATTATAGAGCAGTGATCACAATACCGTAAAACCGTGATTTAAAAAAAAAAATGTATCCAAGGTTATCATACCGTCGGAATATTATACCGCCCCATGCCTACTTAAGACAGATGGGCTACAGCAGCAGAAGACCACAGCTGGTGCTACTCTTCTCAGCTAAGAACAGGAAACTGAGGCTACAATTCACACAGACTCACCAAAACTGGACAATAGAAGATTGGAGAAACGTTGCCTGCTCTGATGAGTCTCCATTTCTGCTGCCACATTCAGATGATCGAGTCAGAATTTGGCATCAACAACATGAAAGCATGGATCCATCCTGCCTTGTATCAGCGGTTCAGGCTGGTGGTGGTGTAATGATGTAGGGGAGATTTTCTTAGCACACTTTGGGCTCATTAGTACCAACTGAGCACAGCCACAGCCAAAGTATTGCTGCTGACCATGTCCATCCCTTTATGAGCACAGTGTCTCCATCTTCTGATGGCTACTTCCAGCAGGATAACACACCATGTCATAAAGCCTGAATCATCTCAGACTGGTGTCTTGAACATGACAATGAGTTCACTGTACTCAAATGGCCTCCACAGTCACCAGAGCTCAATCCAATAGAGCAGCTTTGGGATGTGGTGGAACCAGAGTTTGGCATCATGGATGTGCAGCCGACAAATCTGCAGCAACTGAGTGATGCTATCATGTCAATATGGAGCAAAATCTCTGAGGAATATATCCGGTACCTTGTTGAATCTAAGCCAGAATAAGGCAGTTCTGAAGGCAAAAGTTCCACCCCTGTACTACTAAAGTGAACCTAATAAAGTGTATATGAATTATGCATTGATTCTGATTTCATGTAGAAGCGAAGGAGCATTTTCAGAAGTGTTTCTGTGATATTTTGTCTCCTCGAGAAGGTGGCGGACAGCAGATGCTTCAGCAGATGACACACAGATTATAGAAACATCAGTGAGAGTCTAGTATTCACTGAGTCACAGATATCCTGCTGTGTGTGTTCGGATTTTACCCACAGTGCATGAGTGCTGTGGAGATCACAGCAGGTATGCTGTGTCATATAAGTTACCAGGTCTGTTGGGATTATTAAATAACTGTCTATTTGCGGTTATTAAACCCTCATGTGAACTTAAGGGTCAAAAATGACCTAGGCACACTTTTAAGAGCAGAAAAAGTCTTCACAATATTTTCCAGTAAAATGACTTCAGCATAGGGCTGGGCCGATAAACAATATCGTATTATATTGCATTAAAATTTATGTTGATGAAAAGCTGTGGACATTTTCATTCGATATTGATCCTAAGGGCCAATCACACAGCAGAAATATGCAACAACTGGAATCTATTATTGTGTTGCTATTAGAGATTCATCAAAATTTTCGTTATTGAAGATTATTAGCCGATAATAGGTCATGTTGCCTGACCCAGGATGGTTTAGTACACTCGTTTCACTTTCCCCCCAGCAGTATCCGACTTCAGTCATGGTTAAGATGCTCTAACAGTGGAAGCATTAACACCTTCAAAACATATATTGTTATCGTTCAATATAGAAAATTATTATCACGATCACATTTTTTCCCCCAGCTCTACTTCAGCATTGGTAAGAATGTAAAACACCACAAAACACACACACGCACACACTTGACTTTGTGAATTGTGTGGACATTACATTGGTTTTCTATTGCTTTCTACTGTACAAATGGAATTTTTTATCGCCCTTACCCCTAAACCCAACCCTCACAGCACACTGTGTGCAGTTATACTTGTTGAATAACCTCATTCTGTGTGATTTACAGTTGAAGTCAGAATTATTAGCCCCCTTCAAATTTTTTTTCTTCTTTTTCCCAAATGATGTTTAACAGAGCAAGGAAATTTTCACAGTATGTTTGATAATGTTTTTTCTTCTGGTGAAAGTCTTATTTGTTTTATTTCGGCTAGAATACAAGCAGTTTTTAATTTTTAAAAAACATTTTAGGGACAAAATTATTAGCCTCTTTAAGCTAAATTTTTTATCGATAGTCTACAGAACAAACCATCATTATGCAATAACTTGCCTAATTACCCTAACCTGTCTAGTTAACCTTATTAACCTAGTGAAGCCTTTAAATGTCACTTTAAGCTGTATAGAAGTGTCTTGAAGAATATCTAGTCTAATATTATTTACTGTCATCATGACAAAGATAAAATAAATCATTAAGTCATTAACATGAGTTACCAAAACTATTATGTTTAGAAATGTGTTGAAAAAATCTGCTCTCCGTTAAACAGAAATTGGGGAAAAAATAAACAAGCGGTCTAATAATTCAGGGGGGCGAATAATTCTGACATCAACTGTATATGCTTTTGGAGAAATCAGGAATGTTCTCATATTTCACCACCTTCTAGTAATTCCTGTGTCATACCTTTGTAATTATACAGATGTCACAAAAACACACACATGCAGGCACACACGCCCGCAGTCCCGACTGGGCCAGTTGGCATTTCTGTGTGGAGTTTGCATGTTCTCCCCGTGTTGCCGTGGGTTTTTTCTGGGTGCTCCGGTTTCCCCCACAGTCCAAACACATGCTATAGGGCAATCGATGAACTAAATTGGTCGTAGTGTACGAGTGTGTGTGTGTGTGAATGGGTGTTTATGGGTGTTTCCCAGTACTGTTTTTCCGGCTGGAAGGGCATCTGCTGTGTAAAACATATGCTGGAATAGTTGGCGGTTCATTCCGCTGTGGGGACCCCTGATAAATAAGAGACTAAGCCGAAGGAAAATGAAATTTTCTAAACAAATATCATTAAAGCAAGTGATGTGCTACAGATTTTTGTCCACACGAGGGCAGCAAACCCATGCATATCAGTGCAGATTCTCTGTTCACACACATCCTTAGTATTTGTTGTTTGCACTGAAATTCTGACCACTTATTCTTTATCTGCATTGTAGAAAATGTAGTTTGCATTAATAATAATAATGTATCTATGTCTTGATGTATATGCATATACTTTTTAAAAAAAAAAGTCTACTTTTAATGTTTAATTCTTGTTTTGTTATCGCTGTTTTTTATGCTTAAAATTATGTTTAAAAACGAAATGAAAAAAAAACATGATCTTAAGTTAACGTAAAGATAATCTTAAAAGATAATATAGTGACACTTTATTATAAGGTTCTATTTGTTGATGTTTTTACTAACATGAACAAGTCATTATTACTGTATTCATTCGTCTTTGTTAATGTTAGTTTATAAAAATGAATTTAATTCTAGTTAAATTCTAATCATAGCTTGATCCCTTTTGAAGGACATCAAAACAAGATGTATGGGGGGGGGGGGGGGTCTTCCCTTTAAATTGTTAGGAAGTAGCTCACTCCGATCTGGATCTTTAATAACATTAATAATTAAATTAATAGATAACTTATTCATACATTTGACCACCCCTGTAATGATTCATACCATTGTGAATGCATGTTTTCGCCAAAAGATGTTAATTCAGAGGTTTGAAACTGGCGAATGTAGAACAGCGACAGACAGCGTAAGTGTTCACAAAACAAGTTTCTTGTAAAATAGGCATCTGTAGCTGTCTGTAAAACTAGATGTACTGTTTGTATTTTATTATACTCTGGCTCGCATATGAAAGTTAAACAGTAAAACTAAAAATAAGTGCAGTCTTTCATAGTCATCCATTAATAGGTTTAATATCACAGATGCCATTGAGAACCACTCAGTATCCCTCAAAACACTGAAAACATCATAACAAGTTTGACTGATAAATTAGATGTAATCGAATTAAATTTATACATTTGGTTCACTGAGGCTGCGATTATTTAACATATTTTTTTTCCCTGCACTAGTTTCAATAGTAATCTTCAACTATTAAAAAATGTTTTAGTCTTCATCTGTATCTGAGTTTTCAGTACTGATTTCTTTCTCGTGTGTGTTTTATTCAGGTGAACGCAGGAAAACAGGATCAGTGGAGTCCATGTGAAAGATCTTGCAGTGTCCCGGTAAGAGTTCAATTAAATTATACACAGAGTTCTGAACAACATGTTACTAATCATATTATTAGGTTAAGAGGATGAATAATTCATCAGCTTTTAAAGGGCAGGGATGAAATTATGTGTTCCACCCAAGGGTTTAACTTTGGTTTCAGAAGGAGGGTCACAGTGTGGGGGTGGAGAATGATTTAGATTTAAATCCCATTTCCTATATATATATATATATATATATATATATATATATATATATATATATATCACACGAGTAGCAGTGCGATATGGCTGTATATCGGCACTGGTGGGAGGCGTGCGATGGCACGAGGCCGCAGTGCCGGTATACAGCCATATCGCACTGCTACTCGTATGATATTGCGTTTATACAACAGTTTGACGGCATAATTGTGTATATAAAAACAAAATCAAACATGGAGAGTTTCAAAAACCATTTTGTATGTGGAACTACTTTCTTCCATATTGGATTTAAATCATAAGCTGACAGTTTGAGCGTGCATCCTTTAAACTTTAGATCTGTAGTGTCTCTGCTTTTTGCTGGCTGTATGTGGGCGGAGTAATACACAAAGGGTAAAGTGGCTGTAGGAGTTCTGATATTGCAGAATATCGCACGGCTATCAGCCAATCAGATTTGAGAACCAGACAGAACTGTTATATATTATACATATAACATATATATATACATATATATTATATATTATATAACTGTTTTATATATATATATATATATATATATATATATATATATATATATATATATATATATATATAGGGACTATAATAATAATTATAAATAATTTTGTTTGTAATGCGCTTTTGTTAGACCCAAAGCACTACAAAGCAAAAATACTAACAATAACAGAAACAGCAGAACAATAAAAGCTAGAATAATGCAATCTCCAGAGAGAAAATAGGCTCATTAAACCAATTTAATTTTAGTCTTATCTAAAAATGTAAAAAAAAAAAAAAAAATGTGTGGATGAATCAGAAAAATGAATATATTTGCAAATTATATAAGAATGTTGATCATTAGTTCATTAATTATCTTTCATGCATATACGACCACCTTTAGTTAATGACAAAAAAAAAAAAAAAATATATATATATATATATATATATATATATATATTTACATTCCTGGTGCTAATTTTCTGCACAGCAAACATTTCTAGCATTAGACTAACACCAACAGATGTAGATCTTTTCTGTCTGACAGAAAATATGATTATGCTGGCTCAGTTTGTTTTGATGGTCCGTTTGTTGAATGTAAGCTACATTGCATCTACATGCCAACTAATTCTTATTACATTATAAGTAGACTGTTAGGTTGGGGTTAGTGTAAGTTGACATGTACTTGCAAAGTTTCTTATAGTCAGTTAAATGTCTGTTAAAGGAGCAGAATCAGCAAATATTAAGCAGACAGTCTACTAATACTCAAATGGACCATCAAAATAAAGTCTTACCTTATTCTAAATTAACAAACTTGCATCTTTTCTCATTCGTGATGCTGTTAAAGTAATCTGCAGCTGTTTTGCTTTTAATTTTAACTGCTAGATCTGTTTATTAGTACTTAATTTAGAGCATGTGAAGTTATTGGATGTGGACGTGCACATTGGCACCTGGTTCCACCAAACTTAAAGAGACAGTTCACCCAAAAATGAAAACATGCTTATAATTTATATTTTCAGGCTCTCTAAGATGTAGGTCATGTTTTTTTTTTATTAAATTTTTGTTTGAAACTGTGATCTTTGCCATTCATATAATGTATGTCAATGGCTACAAGCATTTTGAGTGTCAGAAAACATCATCATTACCTTTAATTCACAGACTTGGCAAACATTCATCAGAAGTTCATATTGAGTGATTCACATTTTAAACTCGTTCACTCGTTCACTCATTCTATTTTTGGTCTAGTCCCTTTATTCATCAAGAGTCGCCACAGCGGAATGAACCGCCAACTTATACAGCATATGTTTTACACAGCAGATGCCCTTCCAGCTGCATCTCATCACTGGGAAACAGTATATATAGTGCATGTATTTGGACTTAGTATTAGCACCCAGGGGAAACCCACGTGAACGGGGAGAACATGCAAACTCCACACAAAAATGCCAACTGACCCAGCTGGGGCTCGAATCAGCGACATTGCTGTAAGGCGACAGCACTAACCATTTTAGACTCAATATTGTCTTTTTTATTAGTTCAATCAAAGCCAGAGCAGAACATTTGTGCATTTTATTGACCCATTCATGAAGAAAGCCACATGCTTTGATTCTAAATGAATGAGCTTTTTTGAAGGAATCATTTGAATGAATGATTTAGTGAATCTGAGTTTAATAATCTCGGTTTTATATCTTCTACATGTGAATTTTGTCACTGTTTTGGTGTGTACTAGCTTATAGATTTCCTAAAAATTAGCTATACCAACATGTAAAAATCTTTATATTCATTTCATGGGAACTTTAAACATCGCTTGGGAACTAACTGAATGATCCAAATTCACAAGAAGCTGATAATTTAGTTTTGTATATGTGTATTTTGTAGTCTACAGAACCGGTGGCTGACCTAAACCTGATGCCGTCTGAGCAGGAGCAGCAGGAGTATCTGCGCTGGAAGAAGGAGCGCGAGGAGATCGACCGCGAGCGTGTGGCCCGTCACAAAAACTCCAAAGGCCAGTGGAGGAGAGCCTGGGACATGGAGAAAACGGAGCTAATGTAAGCCTGACGCCTCTGCGCCTCATTTCTGTTCTCAGAGAAACTAACCCGAGCTGCTTTAGTTTGCATTTTCGCTCGATTTCCTTTTGCTTGTTGGTCTTTGTTGGGTTTTTTTCCTGCATGTTGAACTGCATCTTACATAAATCACTGCTGTTTGAATGGCCTCTGCGTCTGCTGTCTTACTGACTCCTCCATATGCAGAACTCATCTCTTTAAAGAAATACCCGAGTTAGATTTTCAAGCAGGTTTTCTCTTGAAACTTAATCATTACACAGCAGGTCATGTGGTGTTTTTAAAGGGTCACGAAACACCAAAACACATGTTTTGAGCTGTTGACAGTCGTATATGTGTCCCACACTGCTAAAAACACTATTAGGACACCTATACTTCACTAAAAAGTGTAAATTGGTTGTTTTTGCGTTATTTCAAGCAAATTCGTACTTCCGGTTTGAAACGAATTTTTGAAGCTGCGTCACGGTCATGATATAATAGCGTGTATTCCAGCGTGCAGACTGGGCGTCTGTGCCAGAGTGTGTCTTATTACATCTTACAGTGTGCTGCATTAATGCATGAGTAAAGCTTGGTTCAAACCAATCAGCACGCTCTATTGTGCAACTTCATTAATATTCATTACTGTCACAGTGTTTAGACGACACTCACACCATGTTGTACTGGCAAAACAAGCGTGAAGTGTTGCATTTATAGTTTGCTGCAGTTAAGTTTCGTTTTCATTTTCTCTCTGTGAGAGCGCAGACTCACGTGTGGATTAACAGTGTACGCGACACTCGACAACAATAACTTATGTGTCTAAACGCTGATTTATACTTCTGCGTCAAACACCGGCGTATGCTACGGCGCTGACGCATAGCCCTTCGCCGTGGCCATCGCCGTCACTGACGTGCACCTCTCAAAAAATGTAACTAGACGCGTAGCGTAAACTCTGTGATTGGTTGGCTTGGTAGCGCTGACGAGTCTGGGCGGGACAGAGAGCTGCGCGAATGGCGCGACGTCGCGCGAGCGATTGTTTACAAGTGTGGAATCCCGTGAAGGAGCTCCGGATGGAAAGTTTTGTTTTGTGTTTACCTCATAGTTAAAGTTGTTGCACGTCCGCCGGTTCCTGCCTCAAAATGAGCGAGTTTGAGCCACTTGTACATCCCGGAAGTGTTCAGGAAATGCAAAAAAGTAGCGAAGAAACTCGATACAGAGAAACATTTACACCTCACTGCCAACTAGCGTTTCAGAAGTGTTAATGCAGACCAACAGAGACAGCGCGTTGCCTGCGCCGGTCACCTGACGCAGAAGTATAAATAATACTTAAGGAGGGACATTGTTTATCTGAGAGCTGTTCTCATCTGCAAACGCTGAGATCCGGATTCGCTGCTCGTCTCCTCTTAATAAAGACGCGGCTCTAGTTGCTGGTGATTGTCCTGTCTCTACAGATTTGGTAAGTGAGTGACCAGTGCTCTTTGTTTATTCAGTTTGTTCGTATCGAACTAAGTTAACTATTGCACCGAGTGTAAACATGTTAGCACCACAACCAAACTTTAACCTCGTGTAGGGTTTTCACCGCATTTAGTGACTGGAATAACACACGCGGCTTTCTGACGCTACCTGCCGTGTGCATCTAAGTTTCCGGGAAATGCGGAGGGTTTTTTTCTCTCATTCGCCGTGCGGTATCAAACATTGCATGAAAATACACGCTTAGAGCAGCTCCTCGAATCAAATATCTTGTTTGTCGCGAGGGGCATGAATGAATTCCCTGAATGAAAGAGCCAAACTGCAGTTAAAGTCCACCATTTAATAATTTGGCAAATAATTCGACTACAGATGTCCATGTAGGTTAAACACCATCACTTTCTACTGTCTGTGTGTGTGTGTGTGGGTGTGTGTTTTGACTCTGAAACTTGCGCGTGCCAAATAGACATTCCCACACCATCCCACTTTTCTTCCTCCGACACTCCCCCCTGAACAGAGCTGGACACGCCCACTTTTCAGACTTTTTCCAAAGTAGAGGGGTGAAAACACCCTGCTGAAACAAGGGGGTTTCATGGCCCTTTAAAGTCTCCCTCTTGTTGCTTTAAAACTCTAGTGCTTCCCACATACAGACTTTACTTGGGCGGGCCTCCCAGGTATATTAATGGCCTCCTAAGTATATTTAGTGACACATTTTTGCATATTATTATCATCCTTTTACACTTTTCTGCTTCTGCCGGTTATAACCAAACATCTGTAAGGATTAAGTAGTGGAAAATCTTCTCTCGTTCACTTGTTTCATATTTCTCATTCTCCTACAGACAGTCTCGAGTGCTCTGCAGACCTGTAGAGTGCTTTTAGCGTCTGGCCGGGGTTTTTAAAGGGCCATGAATCCCCCCATGTTTCAGCAGGGTGTTTTCACACCCCTAGTTTGGAAAAAGTCAGGAAAGTGCGTGGGTCTAGCTCTGTTTGGGGGTGGGGGTGGAGTGTCTGGGGAGGGAAAGGTGGAAGGATTTAAATGAAAATGGAAGTTCCCTTTTGGGCACGCGCTGATTTTCACCGTGGCAAAACAAACACAGACACAGGGGAGAAAGACAGAGACTGTTGTTAAATGATGGTGGAATGTTTGATACCGCACGTCGTATAAGAGAAAAAAGCCTCTGCATTTCTCTGTTACTCAGATGCACTCGGTAGGTCAGAAAGCCGTGTGTGGGTAGACTATCCTGTCACAAAATGCGGCGAAAATTCAACACGACAGTCAGCAAAAGTTTGCTTACAGTGTTCACGTGTTTACACTTAGAGAGCAGCATTTACAGCAGATCTTTCAATATTATAGTGACATTAACATACTGTAAACTAAGTAACTTAGAAATCATTTTGACCAAGGTTAGTCTTTAAACACTGAAAGAGTACTGCTGACCATGCGAACTATAACTTTGCCATCTGAACGAACAAAGAAAGGGCGCTGATCGCACACTCTTACCGAATCTGTAGAGACAGGACAATCAACACATACTGGAGCCGCGTCTGTTTTTAAAGGAGGTGAGCAGCAAATCTGGATTTCACAATTTCCAGATGAGAAAAGCTCTCGAGGAAAAAATGTTCTGTTCAAACGTATTTCTGTCGAGCGCCGCGTGCACTGATCCACACGTGAGTCCAGCAGTGCTCTAATAGAGGGAAAATGAAAACAAAACATTCACTGCAGCACATTATGAAAGCAACACTGACGACCCGTATCTCCAAACAATTCTTGTTCTCCCGCTTGGCAACACGACGTGTCGTCTCTCTGCCGTCTGAACACTGTTTCAGGTACAGTCTAAGAAAGCTATCATGCATATTAATGAAGTTGCACGGCATGCACGATAGAGCGAGCTGATTGGTTTGAACCGAGCCTTACTCATGCATTAATGCAGCACACTCAGAGACGTAATACGGTACTCCCAGGTACAGACGTCCAGTCTACACGCTGGAATACACGCTAAGATCTCATGGCCGTGACGCAGCTTCAAAAATTAGTTTCAAACCGAAATTTGCTCGAAATAACGCAAAAACAACAAATTTTCACTTTTTTGTGAAATATTTGTGTCCTAATGTTTTTTTTTAGCAGTGTGGGACACATATACGACTGTCAACAGCTCAAAACATGTGTTTTGGTGTTTCGTGACACTTTAAATCTCCTAAAATGTCAGCAATTTGGCTTTTGCTTTTGCTTTCTAAATTTGTTGTTAATTGCACAGTCATCAAAGAAACATTAAATAATATTTTTTTTAATGTAAACGACAGGGACGCACCATTCCCAATGCTTGGATTGAATATTGGGTTAATACCGCTCATTTTTGCTGGATCGGGTATCGGCCAGCTGGTTCCGATCCAAATCTGATCTTGCCCATGTGCTATATTCTGTGTTTATAAGCCACCTAAGCCATGAATGTAGCCTATTATAAGGCAATATAAAGTTGTCATGTAGGCCTACTATATCCCAAATGTTCTGAAGCTATTCTACAGTTTAATGTGAAGCACAGATGAATATTCATGTGGTTAAATTCATGTTCAGTTTAGCGCTTCCTTCCGCTGCTGCGCCTGTCAATCATTCTCCATTAATTCACAAACTGCACGTCGCGTCCATGACAATATGAAAAGCTTTCTCCAAGACTAATTGTTCCTGTTAGTTTAAATAAGTGGATAAATGGATTCAGTTTGGCATTAAGTGTAAATAATATAAAAATAAGTAAAATTATTCTCACAATGAGTTTCTGTTCTTTCATCCTTGCGACGGAGTTTGTTCTTCCAAGGGGAATACTTTCAGTGCTGCGAATAGTTTGTAAAGCCTGGCTCATTGTGGTCAAAGGAGTTGATTAAATTAATAAAGGTGAAACTGATGGGCGTAATATGGATTGTCATTACAAGAAAATAATTTAGCCTAATATAGGCTACTCTGAAACTGTCAATATTTTGTGTTTTGGTGCATAACAATGTATATGTATATATATATATATATATATATATATATATACACACACATATATATACATACATAAATATATATAAATATATATATATATATATATATATATATGTGTGTGTGTGTGTGTGTGTGTGTGTGTGTGTGTATATATTTATTAATAGTGTTATTTGTTTTAATTAAAATGTTTGCTTTTTTAATTTAGTTTTTTTCTATCGTTTTATTTATTTTAACTTTATTTAATTTTAAAATGTTTTTTTGCTAACCTCTATAATGAAGTTGTGGTTAAAAAGGATATTTCAGCCTTAAATAGCTTGATATCTAATTCTGACAAATGTCACATTACATTCCTGAATGATCTCTGGCCTTTATCTGCACATGCCAGTGAACTGGAATCATGTTTAATGTCACCGAGATTATAAAAGGTCCTTATTTACACTCAAATGACTTTAAAAACGTAAAATATGTCAAACTATTTAAAATGTCATGTTAATCTGCACTACTGAATGAATCTGATCTACACTGAACTAGAACTCAGAATGGAAATAAGTGACTCCTATGAAGA